CGAAATTTTTGCCCTATTATTTGTGTAAGTAGTGTCCGGTCACTTAAAGAGTGTAATCTGTACAAGTCAACAATTCACGTGTTGAAGTTTATGGCTGGCCCATACTCATGTAATTTCCTTTTCTCAATAGTGTTTTAAAGTCTATGCCATTGGCTAAACTAACGACACTATCAATGTGTAGAGGTTATGGATTTGGCTGCTAACCACAAGGTCAGCAGTTTGAAATCACCAGTCAGCTCTTCTGGAGGAAGATGAGACTTTCTACTCCTGTACAGATGTACCGTCTCGGAAACACAGGGCAGGTCTACCCTGTCCTGTAGGGTCGCCATGAGTCAGCATTGACTCAATGGCAATGGTAGTGATGCCCCAGGGGGGTGGTTGATAAGTTCTCTATCATAAAATGACAATGATGTCACTAAGTTGAGCCAGAGACATATATAAACCATTGCTAGAAGAATGGATTTGGGGCTTAATTCTAACCCAAATCTAAGAGCAATTAGTTCTTAGGACATGGCCCTCCTTGGTGCTCGCCCTGCAGAGGCGAGTGCTACAGCAAAAGGTGGTGAAGAAAGCAGATGGCGTCTAATGATCAGAGGGACTAGCATCTGGGTCTTCAAGGCTTGTAAAACAAGCAGCCATCTAAGTGAGATGTCAACGAAGTCCACATAGAAGAAGCACACAAGCCTGTGTGATCCAAGGATTGTAACTGATGTCATCCAAATCTGAAGGAGGGAACGGCATCAGAGCTTAAATTGTGAACACCTGGTTTGCAGAAGGCTCTGGATGACAGTAGAAGCCCCAAATCCATTTGGAGGGTCCGCACCTGTAATAAGCCGCAGGTGAATCCCCTCTGATCATAGCTGAGGGACAGGCATGGCCTTGCTATCAGACAGAGTGCTGTGTGACGTTGAGTATGGCAGATGTACTTAGGTTGAAATGTATGATCATTCGTTCTCCCTTTTGACCCATCTTAAAGTTGTTTCAGTTTGAACAAAAAAGGGAAGGAGATCCACATGGATTGAGCCTCTGGTGAGTCCCCTGACCACAGACCAGCGATGAGACCAGCCGTGCTGGTGTGCAGAGTGCATGGGAAAGCCAATCACCGCAGGGGCTGTGAGTTTACAATTTAGCGCCTCATTACTTGATCGCCCTTTGGATCCATTTTTAATTGGTTCTAGTTTTTAATATTTTCTGCTTTCTTTTCAACTGAGGTCTTTCTCTATTTTACTTTGGTATTGTTGTTTTTAAAATGCTTTTCTGTCTATGAACTCCTGGATAGGTAAATCGATAGAGACAGTCGCTGGATTCATGGTTTCTTGGGGGTGTGGCAGGGGAAGTGGGAGGGAGATGGGGAGCAACAGTGAGTACAAGAACGAAGAAAATATTCTAAATTGACTGGGATGGTGACTGGACGGCTCTTCTTGATGTGACTGAACTACTGGAGTGCATGATACGTGAACTATGTGCCAATCAGACTGTTTAAAAAATAACGTCTTGCCCTGTCACCAACCCACATTTTTGTGTGAATAGTCTCTTGTCACTTCCGAGTTTGATCTGCATAGTCAGCAGCTCATGTATTGCAGTCTGAAGCTGGCCTCTACTTAAATAATTTCAGTTTCCCAGCAGTGTTTTTTTAGCTTCTTTTTAAAAATCAGAACAAAACAGTGCTTTAAAGTCTATGCCATTGGCTACATTAGTGACACTATCAATACAATTGCCTTATGCCCCAGGGAGACGATTTATAATATTCATCATCACAAAATGATAATGGTGCCTCGGAAGGTGAACCAGAGACCAATATAAACCATGGGCAGATGAATGGATCTGGGGCTCACACTGAATCCTGGCCACAGTCTAAGAACAGTTAGTTCTTAGGACATCACAGAAGTGCGTGATCCAAGGACTGTAAATAATAAACCCGAGCCAGGTGGAGGGAATGGTACTGGAGCGTAAGTTGTGACCACTCGCGTGCAGCAGACTAGGGTGGCCAGGGGAACCCACGGGGGTCAGTCTCTGGAGAATGGAGTCTCCTACCGACCGCAGCTGAGGGAGGTGAGTAGCCTCGCGTCTGCAGAGAGCACTGTAGAGTTGGTTACGGCAGACGAATCTAGGTTACAATTGGAGCTCCCTTTCACCATTTTAAAGTTGTTTCAGCTTTTAATATTTTCTGCTTTCTCTTTGACGGATGTTTTTCTGTTTGATCTCTTCACTGTTGATTTTGTTGTTTGTTTGTCTTGTACGATTTTTTGTGGCTTGTTTTCCAGGATAAGGCAGATCTATCGAGCCAGTAGTAGATGGGGCAAGGCAAGGGAGGATGTGGGGCAGTGGGAAGGGAGCTAACAATGACGGTGAGAAGAAGATATTCGGAAATTGATTGTGATAATGACTGCAAGGCTGAATATGATTGAATGATTAAATATATGATGTGAAGTAGATGCTAATGTAATTATTATTTTTTAATGAAAGTTAAAAATATCTTATCAAAAACATCAGTAGTTTTAACCAACACTTTCTTTTTTTTAAATGTTCTGAAGTTTTATACTGAAAAGTTAAAAGGCAGATGGCAGGCCAGGAGCAAATCTTTACCCAAACGAACAAAGGGTTCATGCCCGTACTGTGCAGAAAAACTCATCTCTCGCCACTCAACCGGGGAAAACAGTCAGCCGCTCAGCAGAAACGCTGGGTAGACAGTGTGCACACGCAATTGCAGAGGAAAAAGGGCAGGATAATAAGCTCGTAAAAATATATGCTCTCTTCCTAGTAATGAGGGAAATGGAGTGAAAACAATAAGGAGATGCCACTCCCGTCAGATTAGTAAAAAGTGTGCGCGATTCGTAACATTTCCTGTTGGTGGGGCGATGGGGAGGCAAACCCTCCCTGCGCTGTCGGGGCGAGTGTGAACTTGGGCCTTCTGCTCCGAGCACAACTGGACAGTCACATTCAGACACTCACTGCGGCGGGCCTCGGACCCACCGCCGCTGCAACCGAGTGCCCACGCGGCCAACATGCACCCAGTGCGCAGGCACGGGTCCCAGGTGGAGACAACCGAACTGGCCGCCCCAGAGGCGTGAGGAAAGAGCCCAGTGTCTTCAGACGACCCACTGTTACGCGGCTGACTGCAAAGCCGGAGGCAGAACTCCCCGAGATGAAACAGCTCAACATGACAACCTGCCCTGAAGAGCAAGGAGTCCGGAGGGTGCCGTGGCTAAGCTGCTCCCGAGACGGTCCATGGCTCCGATGGACCCTGGCTGGAAACCGTCCCGGGGCAGTTCGACTCTTCCCTGTGGGTGCGTTTGCATCGCTCCCCGACAGTGATGCCACGGTGGCAGCAGCTCATGTTGGGCATTTTTACAAGAAAGCTCCAACGGGTTGCCATGGGGGTCCGTGAACAGCCCACCGTGCCCTTGCAGGCAGAGCGGGACTGCCCTTTGGGTCTCGGATACTTCCAGATCTTTCCAAGAGTGCAGGAGACAGCTCGTGTTTCCCCCAGGGAGCTGCTGGGCGGTTGGAACACTGAGTCTGGGGCTAGAAGTTTAGTGCATAACCCAGGGCGCCGCCAGCATTGGCAAATACCTCTTCCTCGCTGGAGAACTGGGTGCTCAACATATTACCCAACGCCACGGACCCCAACCACCCTGAAACCTCGTGTCTGCTTGCGTGTGCGTGTGCGTGTGCCACGCATGTAAGAGGTTCTGGTGCTACTAAGCCGCTCAGCAAGAGATCCAGAGGCGAGCTCTGGAGTCCGCTGCTTGGGCTCAAGTCCCGACCCTGTCACCTCCACCCCGAGTGACTTCATCGCTCGGTGCCTCGTCTCCCTGCTGTAAAGGAGAGAAAACAGCACCTGCCTCTCGGCTGAGTCTGGGGCTAGAGTCCCAGAGTCTTGGGACCGAGCAGGCTCAGGAAGAGGTACCTGTGTCCCTGGAGAGAGGGTGTGGGGAAAGACAAGGGGCACCATCGACCTGACTGTGCTGTTGGCTCTGTGGTTGCTGCTGTGTGCTGGCTTTTTACAAGCTGGCGCTTCTTTTACATTAAAAACAAACACAATACTAGAAGCCAACAAGCCAAACAAAAGTGGTTGGGGTCGCGTAGAGAGGTGGCCCCACCACCACCACCCCACCCGCCCCCCTCCTCCTCACCATCCGTGAACAGAGGCTCTGGCAGCTTCCGGAAGAAGGACTTGAGTAGGCTGCTGATGACATTCAGGTCCTGCCAGCGCTGGGAAGGGAACACAGGTGTCAGGCCCAGCAGCCCAGGGCTCTGCGCTGGAACAACCAACCCCAGACCCACCCCGCCCTGAGATCCATGCGCTCCAAGCTCCATCCACACCAGAGAGGGCGGGCGGCCCTGGACCCTCTACCCCGTGGCCCCGGGCCTCCCTGCTCTGGGCAGCCCAGTGCATGCCAGCTCCTTCTCATCCCTGGAAAGTGCCCGGGGGGAACAGAGGCGAGCAAAAGCCGCTCTGTGGGAGCCAGCCCATTTATTCTCATCCCTTCATCGGACTTGGTCCGGGCTTGGTCCCTGCCTCCCAGTGCTCCCCGCTTCGTGAAGAGCCACCCTAGGGTCCTCTCATGACCCCCCAGTCTAAGTATGTGTGTTGTGTCGTTCACACCCGGCTCCTGCCCACCCACCCCAGGCCCTGGACACCTGCTGTCCTCAGTTAGCGTCCGTTCCCCCCCCCTCGCTCCCTGTGCTCCACAAGGCTGCCTCCTCATTCCGCCTAAACCCCGCCTCTTTAGAGAGGTCTTGCCCATTGTCTTCATGAAAGCGGCCACCATCCCACTTCCCCATCGCCCTTGAAAGTCGCCCTGACTTCATTTTTTCCACGGCAGTTGGACAATACATCATCAGTGTTTCGCTCGTGTTTCCTTGCTCGTGTCTTGCTCCCTGTAGAGATTGTGCCTGTCTCATTTCCCATGTCCTCACTAGCACAGTTGGCTTGGCACTTTCCCCCACTCCAAGCTCCAAAGAAGAGCTGCCCCTGTGAGGTCTCAATGGGGGGCAGGGGGGGGACTCTGGCCCCTCCAAACTGCTGGCCTTGAGGTTAGCTGCCTAACACATACCCACTACTACCCCACCAGGGCTCCTGGCCCTGAACTTGGAGGGTTTAAATCAGAAGCTCTCGACTCGAATACAAGAATGAATGAAGGAACAGGGATTAAAACACACTCAGTAGGGACGAGATCGCCTTTTCAATAAATGGTGCTGGGAAAATTGGATCTCTACCTGCAAAAGAGTGAAATCGGGCTGATACCTCACACCACGACCAGACCACGAACTCCAGATGGACCAAAGACCTAAACATAAACCCTAAAGTCCTAAGGCTCATCAATGAAAACAGGGGCAAATGTAAGGGCCCTAATACAAGGCATAAACACACGATCAAACATCATGAAAAACCACTCATGCTACATTAGACAAAATAGAGGGTTAGGATCTTCTAAAAACACATTTGTATTCATCAAAAGACTTCATCAAAAAAGTAAAAAGAGAACCCACAGAGTGGGGGGGAAATATTTGGCAATAATATCTCAGATAAAGGGCTCATTTCCAAAATCGATCGAGAAACTACAACACTAATAAAAAATACAAGTGGCCCAATCAAAAACTGGACGTAAGACAGGGACAGACAATTTGCTGAAGATGCTCTCCACAGCCATCTGAAGAACTGCTGTGTGCACTGGCCATCGGGGACTACAATGTAAGCAACCAGGACACACCACCTCGTGAACACGGGCGGAGAGGACGCGCCAGACCGCGAGCAGCTTGCCCGCCGCTGGGGGGCGGGAGGGGGGGGCAATGCTGCGGGAGGCAGCCTGGCACGTCCTTAAAGACGCAGACACAAGCACCTCAGGGTCCTGCCAGCTCTCGCCCACGGAGAAATAAAGCATGAATCACAGACAAAGGCACACCCATGTTGATGGCGGCCATGTCTATAATCCCCAAGATGGAAACGATCAACACCCAGGTCTGTGGAGGAACGGAGAAGCAAGCGCTAGTCCACGCACACACTGGCATAGTGCGCACCCTTCAAACACAGTGGCGCGGCTGTCAAGCGCCTCGTGACACGGACAGCACTGGGGAACCTTCTGCTCCATCTCCTGAAGACGACTAATCCGTGACAACACTGTTTCCGAGGAGAAGGGAAAGGTGGCTTTCACACCGAAGGAAAAGACGATGAGGCCAGGGCTGGGGGGCAGGTGAGGAGGGAAGGGGCAGGGAGGGTAGAAGGGAGACAGCGGACGGTGGAAGCTATGAAGGCAACAATGATTTGGAACTTGCCAAGAGTCACGAGGGAGGAGCTGATACCAAGGGCTCAAGGAGAAAACGTTTTGGAAATGATGATGGCAACCGATGTACAAATATGCCTGATACAGTCGATGCAGGGAATGTTATAAAAGCTGTAAGAGCCCCCCAATAAAAGGATTCAAAGAAAAGAAAGAAAGGCTAGAAGGGAGGGTGGGTGGGAAAGGAAGTAGGAGGACCCACGTCCAGGGGTGCTGCTGGGACACTGCTGTTCTGACCAGGTGGGCTGTGGGACCGCGGAGAGGGTGTGTCCCTGCCATGGCCCAAAGGGGAATGATAATAACGAACATGACTAACGAGTCGTTGTTGTTTTAAAGAGAAAGGTCATGGCCTTAAAGACCCTCCAGACTCCGAACCCGTCCGACCGAAACCCCGGTCTGAGCGCTTGTCCAAGGAGGACAAGCTAGAGGGAAACGGACTGAATTCTGTCGTGACACACAAGTGAGTTTCAAACACAAACAAAGCCCGGGGTCATAGAGGACAATGGAGTGCCCAAGCAGTCCGGAAAAGATAAAATTAGGTTAAACCTTCACACCACTCACAGGCATAAACTCCCAATAAAGCAAGAGCCCCAATGTAAACTATGGAAACCATCAGCACATTGAAGTAAAACATTAAAAAATGATAAACGGAATGAAAAGTAATAAGACCTGTGACACAGAGACCCCTGCGCACCCTGTTCATTGCAGCAGGATTTTATGCCCACTAGCAAAGAGCCAGAAGCAACCCAAGTGCCTGTCAGTGGACCAACGGACAAACAAAATACAGGACAGACACCCAAAGGGATCCCACCCAACCGCAAAGAATCAGGAGTCTGCGAAACACTTCATCGCACGGGTGGAGGGCGGTCTACTGAGTGACACTTGTCCGTCCCAAAGACAGATGCTGCTTGAGATCTCACTATCCTATAAAATCGAGAACGCGTTTACACGCAGCAAACAACATTCGCCGACAGTTCCCACCAGGGGCGTGGGGAGAAGCAGCCAAATCGATGTGAAGGGGTGTGGATGTAGTGGAGACCCCAAACCCATCCACAAGGTAATTGGACAGTCCCTCTCAGAAGGGCCGCATGGAAGGGATGAAAAATCCAGGGTGCGGTATACCACTGATGAACACATAACTACCGTCTAGTTCTTTAATATTTCCTCCTCCTCCCATTATGGTTTTTTTTTAAACCTCATCAATCATGTTAGATTTGTGTACGTTCATTTGTATATTTAAGATCATTTCAGTACATGAAAGCCAAGATAGATAACCTTGTGGAAACAGTAACAGGAGTAATGGATCCCTGGGGGTACAGGAAGAGAGGGCGGGGGAAGGGGGGCATGGGGAGCAGCGATCACTGTATAACCCCACTCTATGGGACTGAACAACAGAATTGTATGTGAATGGATAGATCGGATCATGTAAGATATGACCAACCCCCCCAATCCCCCAAAAAAACTATTATAGGGAAAAAATAATGATAACAATAATGGTTCCTGGGGGGTAGGGAGTAGGGGATAAAGGGGAGTTGATACCAAGGAGTTCAAGTAGAAAGAAAAAGTTTGGAACGGATTGTGGTAGCAATTGTACAATACTGCTCGATGTGCTTGAACCATGGAATGCTATGATCTCTGTAAGAGCTTCCAATCAAATGATTAAAGACTTTTTTGAAAAGGGGACTCCTCTGTCCATCCACGGGGTGGCTCTCAGTCGGAAGTGACTCTGTGGCGGGAAGTTTGGGGTTTGAGAGGGTTGGTGTTGTTAGGGAGCATCGAGTCGGTTCCGGCTCACGGTGACCCGATGTCCCACAGACCCAATGCTGCCTCGACCAGCCTCACAACCATCCTCACGTTGGAGGGTCTCCCTCTCCTCCGCTGCCTCCCTACTTTACCGAGCACGATGTCCTCCTCCAGGGACCGGTCTCTCCTGACCACGTGGCCAAAGCACCAGAGACAAGGTATCGCCACCCTTATGTCTAAGGAGGATTCTGGCTGTACTGCTTCCAAGACAGATCTGTTTGTCCTTCTCCCAGTCCATTCCTCACCAGCACCGCAATTCAGACACATCCATTCTTCTTCGTTCTCCCTTATTCAATATCCAACTTTCACATCCATACGAGGCGACTGAAAAGACCAGGGCTGGGGCCAGGCACACCTTAGTCCTCAAAGCCACACCCTTGCTTTCCAACACTCGGAAGAGGTTTCCCACAGCACATTTGTCTAAGACGAGGAGTCGTTGCATCTCCTGACTGCTGCCTCCGTGGGCATCGCGCGTGGATCCACGCAAGACGACATCCTTGACAACTTCCGTCTTTCCTCTGTTTATCGTGATGCTACCGACTGGTCCAGTTGTGGGGATTTGGATCTTCCCTATGTTGAGTGGTCATCCGTACTGAAGGCTGCAACCCTTGACCTTCATCAGCAGGTGCTTCAAGTCCTCCTCACGGTCCGCCAGCCAGTTGTGTCATCTGAGTCTCACGGGTTGTTAGTAAGCCTTCCTCCCATCCTGAAGCCACACGCTTCTTCATATAATCCAGCTCTCTGATGATCAGCTCAACATGCACACGGAATAAGCATTCAGGGAGGGTCCAATGCTGGCACACGCCTTTCTGATTGGAGCCGTGCAGTCTCCTCTTGTTCTGCTTGCAGCTACCTCCTGATCCATGTACAGGTTCCACAGGAGTACACAGTGATGCTCTGGGATCCCCACAGTTGGTTGGGGCCCACACAGTCAAATGTCTTAGCATAGTCAATCAAACACAAGGAAACATCTTTCTGGGACTCTGCATTCAGCCAAGATCCATGTGACATCAGTAATGGTGTCCCCTCTTCCACGTCCTCTTCTGAAGCCGGCCTGGACTGCTGGCAGCTCTCTTGTCTGCACGGCGGCAGCAACCATTGTTGGAGCATCTTCAGCAAAATGTCACT